AACTTTTCTACTTGTTTATTTACAAAATTCAAACACAAATTTGAATAAATTCTTTCAATTTCCCTCACTCCCCGACCCATCAAATTGTACAACCCAATGATTAATCCCCTCTTCCCCTTGCACATCCATATCCCTCTGCTTCCAGCCTCTCCCACCCCTCCTGGATCCTTATACTCAATCTACAATAATGGTTTTATATAATATTTATTTTTATGGGACTGAGTTAGTTCACTCAGCATAATGTTCTCCAGTCCCTCCCAAGTTAGATAATAATTTCCAAAGTTATTGCTCCTGCGTGCTGCATAGTATTCCATTGTGTGAATGTACCATAATTTCTCAATCCATTTGTTTGTGGTTGGACATTTGAGCTGTTCCCATGTTCTTGCGATGGTGAATATGCTGCTATGAACATCGGTGTACAAATGTCAGTTTGTGCCTCAGTTCAATTGATACTCAACAAGGAAATCAAAGCTATCAAATGAGGAAATGACAATCTCTTCAACAAATGGTGTTGGCAAAACTGGACTTACACCTACAGAAAGCTGAAATAGGATCCTCATCTCACACCATATAAAAAAATCAACTCAAGGCTGATCAGAGACCTGGGAGTAAAGCCCAAAACCATAACGTTATTAAGAGACAAACTGTGATCAAGCTTAGAAGCGCTAGCCCAAGGTATGAAGAGATTGCCAAATAAAACCAGAAAGGCACAATCTAAAGAGGATAAAAGTGATGCATGGGACCTTCTAAAGATTAAATCTTGATGCACATCAAAAACTTTTTCCAGTAGGGTGAAAAGGAAACCTCCAGACTGGTAACAAACTTTTGATAATTCTCTCTCAAACAAGCATCTTATAATAAAAGTTTACAGAATACTCTTGGGCCTCCACAAGAAAAAAAGACTGATAACCCAATTACAAAATGGGCAAAAGACATGGAAAGAATTTTCACAAAGATATTTGAATGGCAAACACATGATGAATGCTCCAAATTACTGGCAGTAAGACAGATTCAAATCAAAACCACAATGAGGTACCATCTCACTCCAGTAAAAGTGACAAAGTTGAACAGGGAAGCAAGTAATAGATGTTGGAGAGGATGTGGCAAGAAAAGAACTCTTATACATTGTCAGTGGGACTGTAAAATGGTACAACCACTCTGGAAGGCAGTTTGGTGCTTCCTCAAAAAGCTGAACATAGAAATTCCATATGACCCAGCTATTCCACTACTTGGAATATATCCAAACTTGTTTTACTTGGGGAGCTCCACCAAACACTGTCCACCACAGGTAACCATTATTGTATCTGACACATCAGTGTCACTTTAGCATCACAGCCACCATAAAAGCTTTACACCTCTGTTAAGCAAATGGACAGATCAGTGTTATACCACTCAGAAGAATGTTTGACCAAATTTCTTTTCCAACTGGAGGTGGAATACAATCAACTCACACCCAATGGTGAGTAATCATTCCAAACTAATCCTCACCAGTACTAGAAAACAAACCTCTATAGAATCAGCTGCTCCAGACGACTTCCCAATCTGGTAACTAAATGCTTTTTCAGATGATGTTGTTCAATGCTGTTGAGTCAAGCACAGCTCATAGTGACCCTATGAACAAAAGGCATAAAGTCTTTTTCTATACCTATCATCGTTTCTCCCAGTTCAAAGAGTTTCCAGAGGCACACGTGGTTTACGAAGTGGGGTCACTCCTGCTTCCAAACCTGTCTTAAACTGGACACTCTACCAAACACTGTCCACTCTGGGTAGCCATTATGGCAACTGTCATCTAATGGCACAAGGGCCTTACATAAGATAAAATTAGCACTAGATCATTTATACTCAAAGGACCTAAGCAATGAGCAACAGAGAGGTGAACAACAGCTTCCTGAAAGAAAGCATAAAATCCTTTACATTTCACTCTAAAGAAAATAACCAAATTCTTACGTCATCTCATATGACTGGAGAAAAAAGACAGAATTTGTATGCCACTGGAACAATCTATTGCTTCCTGTGGGATTATAAATAATGCTGAAGGAAAGGCTCTTTTATGGATTTAATGGTGCCTCCTCAAAATATGTGCTAAGATCCTTATAGCAAGTCACTGTGGGAAGCTCTGATAGCCTAGTGGTAAGGATTTCAGCTGCCATACTGAAGGCACATGTTTCAAATCCACCAGCAGCTCTGAGGGAGAAAGATGGGCAATATCCTCTTGTGTGATTTAAAGTCTCTCAAAATCCACTATGGTGGATTTGGATATGGAGGTCACCTATGAGTTGGTTCCAACTTCACAGCACATACAACAACAACAACAACAACAACAACATTGGGTCCCTATGATTTAAAGTAAAAAAACATGATGTCAATGAGTAAACCCTACTACCCTATCATCCATTAGCTGCTTTGAGAGAAGTATGGGCAATCTCCTGTGTGATTTACTGCTACTGAAAACCTACTGGAGGCTCAGCTGTGAGCCATATCTGAATTGACAGCATATAACAACACTTGTGATTATGATCTTGTTTGCAAACAGGATTTTCTTTGTTATGTTAAGGTGGCAGTATTAGTATGAGGAATATTTGAAATGTCTTTTGATATATAAGACTGGATTAAGATAGAAGAGCAAAAAAAAAAGTATAAATGAAGGAAGACAGATGTCATGCTGCAGGAGAGTTCCATGGACCAAAACACAAAAGCTAAATAGAGATGAGAACCTTCCTCCTGAGCTAATACAGAGAAATGCTCTCCTAGAGTCAACATCCTGAGTTTGAACTTCTGGCTTTCTAATCACTTGCTGTGCTGCTGAGAGCTGGCTAATGAATAAAGATGACAAGAAGAATTGATGTCTTTGAATTGTGCTGTTGGAGAAGAGTACTGAATATCCCATGGACTGCCAAAAGAACAGACAGATAGATGTCTTAGAGAAGATGCAGCCAGAGTTCTCCTTGGAAGCAAAGATGATAAAGCTTCATCTTACATATTTTGGGCATGTTGCTAGGAGAGATTATTCCTTGGAGAGGATATCATGCTTGGGAAGGTGGAGGGTGAAGAGAGGAGAGGAAGAACCCCAATGAAATGGACTGCAGCAATGGGCTCGAGTGTGTCAGAGATTGTGGGGACAGCACAGAATAGATCAGGATTCAGATTTGTTGTACTTAGTTCAGTGGTACCTAACAACAACAACAGCAACAGCTTCCTAAACTGTTAGAAAATTTGTTTCTTAAAGCCATCCACTTCATGGCATTTAAGTTATAGCAGCACTAGATTCACTAAGACAGACCTCAACAAAAAGCCTCAGTGTTACAGTGAAAATGCTAAGACATTATCTTCCTTAAGGAGACTCAGGCTGCCATGATATAAAGTTCAGGAGAGATATAAATGTATACTTGGGACTACAACAAAACCACTACCTTAATGTCAGCACCCCTCCTTCACTGGAATGCACATAACCATCACAATTCTGAGTACTGATAATTTAAAACAGTCAAAGTTTATTGGTATTTGAATTATAGGCAACTCATAAAAAAGGAATAGAAAAAAGACAGGGACATATCAGACAAAGATGAGCTCAGAGAAGTAAGCCCATAAAGCTGCTTATAAGTTCCAGTGCTCACGTTCAACCTATACACATAGGGATCACATCTAAGATACGGCTAACACAGCCTGAATTAGGAACTAAACTAAAAATTTTATGTTTTCTTAAAGTAAAAATAATTCAACTGAAAAGTAGAAGAAAG